CTCATCAAGGATTCCAGTAAGATGGTCGGCAGACTGAACAAGTTGTTGACCAACTTGGCTGGAGGCAAAGGAAAATCCACAATCCTCACTCCTTAAGAAAGAAATCTCATTTGCTCTAGTTTAGTTTATTAGTTGTTAAGTTGATCATTGTTTGTTAATTCTTGTTATTTGTAATCAAAGAGTATAATCCTGAACATTCGATTGATCTCACCATCAGGGCTTCTCCCCAGTCTATTCCTGTCAATGATTGCCTCGTCTATATTACTATCAAGCTCTTTCTAGATGAACCACATATTCGAGCATTATCTGAGTTTGCCTCCTGTCACAAGGGCATATACAACTGCCTGCTTTGTCACCACCTTAGCAGTGGTAAGCAACGTTTTCATTATTTCTCCGTTTTCAAAGAATGTATTCCAGCAACTTGAGTTCGTAACCCCATACCATCTTTACTTCAATTGGGGCTTGGTTATCAAGCAGTACCAAGTGAGTTCTGACACGCGGCAAGAGGAACATTGAATTTCAGTTCTGGAGGTTGTTCACATCCTTCTGTTACTTCGGTTCATTCGGCTTCTCCTTCTTATTCAATATGATGTTCACCTATCGGTATTGTATGATGCTGGAAGAAGGTTCCTTCCGTGGAAGAAAAGCTGATTTAGTGTACATGTTCATCATTGGAAGTGTTCTCATGGTTTGATCCATTTAGCTTCTGTGCTCAAATTCACTTCAGATCGTCAGTAGTATCTTCGTTCAAATGATTTTCCTCGGACAAGCTTTCACTATGATGCTCGTTTACGTATGGAGTCGTAGAAACCCTTCTGTTCATGTAAGTGGCTCAATGAAACTGAAGGACTTACTCTTCTTCAGATGAACTTCTTCGGTATTCTCCAATTCACTGCTCCTTACTTACCTTGGGTACTTTTATTGTTCTCACTTCTGATAGGAAACAGTGCCACGGTTGACTTCATGGGTTGGTTCATTCACACGTCAGGTGTTTCAGTTCGTGTTTAGGCATTGCGTGTGGACATGTTTACTTCTTCTTAGAAGATGTGTTACCGAACGAGAGGAATGGACTGAGACTGCTATCTACTCCTGATTGGTTAAAATGGTTGTGTGAAGGAGGAGAGCCTCCTCAAGTTCCTGAAGAAGATAGAGCCGGCGGATTTGAATGGGGTGGCCGTAACCCGGAAGATCAGTAAAATTTCCTGATCGACCACTGATTTCGTTAAGCGAAATCATCTAATAATGTCCCTCGTTAGGTGAACTCCTAGGTATATGTATAACTCTTTCTCTCTCTCTCTCTCTCTCTCTCTGCAAGCTTGTATGTTTCTGCGTGCTGAACGCCTCTGTTTCCCAGCTCTCCCATTCATGTGTATAGGAAACTATTGAGACTGAACTCTGTGATTTTTTCTTGCCAATTCGATAGTTTTCTGGCAGTGGCAATGTGATTCCAAGTATTAGACACATCAGTTTTAAACTAAGCAATATGCTAAAAACTAAATTATTCTCCGAACTGAATATGTTTCATATTCGGCTTCTTGGGTTTACTGGTCCATTCATATGGTTTTAAAGAAATAAATTCGATATTACATCTCA